CCCCAAAACCCCAAAACCCCTACATTCTTAAGTATGTTGCGTTTATGAAATCAAAATTAAAAATCAGATTAAAGGAATTTTATAGCTCTCAAGGATTGCTAAATTGTCTTAGCCTTCAAATAATACTTGATAATGTTTGCTTAACTTTGTAGACAAATCTGAAAGTTCTAATTCTTTGAGCACTTAGAGCTATCACATCTGAAGACTAATCTTAAGGAATTACAGGTGGCTTGATTTTGTCATCATCATCACCTTTCCATTAAACCTTCTTGTTTAGCATGTCTTTTTAACTTATTACCCCACTACTTTCTATTTCTGTGATATCGCATTTGTCAAATTAAGATAAATCTCCATTTACTCTTGAGAATAGATCAGATGCTACTTTGGTAATGTCAATATAAATGGTGGTTTAGTCCAATGTAGTGCCATCAGGATAATCATATAGATCTGCAAGGTTTTCTATTCTGATCATAATTTACAATTTATCCTCTGGGAATAATTGTAATTTATAAGGTACAACCACATCCTTGAATTTAATATTTTCTCTCAAGAAATCCTCATTGACTCCTATTGTAGTTTCACTATCTGAAACTATGACTCTAGTCACATTATCATTCTTGGGAAACTGAGCTTGACTCCATTTGTTTGTATAATAAAGTTAAAGAGGTTCATCAATAGAAAGTCCTTAGAATCTCTAAAAAGATTCTTCATCACTTCTTTTAAAGAGTTGCATGTAATAGGTGGCTATCGATGATATACCGTTTCCTGTTAAGCCTTTCTCACTTAGAGGTTCATCTACACCTCTCTTATCGTCAACAAACAATCTCCTTAGTTGCATAAATTCTACTCTGCCTTTTTAGACAACAGAACCACCTTGTGATCTATCATTTAAAACAGTAAACTTAAGATCTTTATCCTCATCAATCATAGAAATAGCTTGATTAATAGGATAGTAGTTTGATGATACTTGCTAATGAGTCTAGAGTTCCCAATCTGGTCTGAAGTCTTTGATTCTTTCGAGCATCTCTAGAGCGTTTGAGTCTGTGTAGAACTTATCCCCGGTATTTGTGAAATCAAATGCGAAGAAGTTTACCGTAATCTCTTTTCCACCTTTGCCATCACTCTCTGGTTGAATAGGAGTTAAATGAAGTTCTACTTCTAGCATTGGGGATTGCTCATATGCTCTAATTATCAATCTACCCTTTCTCTTACTTGGAGTAGAATCATCAAAGTAAAAGACAGTTTCTTGCATGAACTCATTCCTAGTATCTGTTATAGGTTCTGGCTTTATTTAGAAATACTAAAGTGACTGTTGCTGATCTTTAGCTGGCTTAAAAATATAAGCACCACTGGGAACATTATCAGATCCTTCATAGTTATCTCCGCCTTCATCAGACTAGTAATATCTGACATCCACACTAATATACTGGTACGCTCCATTTTTAAGGTATAATTTTAGCAAGGCACCTCTTTAAGAGTAGCCGAGGTAGTCGAATCTACCAAGATTGTCCTTAACTTAGGTAGAATTACGAATCTCATCTGTCTTTTTATGATCTTTAGGTTTGTCTTAGCTAAAATCATAGGAAATTTAGAGAATTTCAGAATTAAGTCCATCAATAGTTGCCTCAATGATTAAGTCGCAATCCTAGGTTACAGAGTAATCTTCATTTATGTAGCTATGGCAAAGAGCCACTGAATTAACAGACTTGAATGAATTTGATGTTTGATCCCACATTTAAGCTATAAACTTTTTGTGAGGAACTTTTACTTTGACATAGTGCTGAGGATGTGTAGATGGATTATCAACAATTACGATGAATGTGGTATTAGCATAGTTCTTGTTTGGGCATTCTAGATAGGTCTAGTTCATCATATTGCAGATGTCCCAATTGTTTGAGTCTATCTTAGCTATTTTCATGGCCATTTACTAGGCTATTTTATTCATTTCCACTTTATTCTGATTGATTGCTCTGACTAGTTTTAAGTTATAATCATTTGCCACATGTTGTTTCTCAGTGCCTGTGATAGCATCATGATGCTAATATACTCCCATGGTATCTAGGAATTTCTCCCTAGCAGCAAGGATAGATAAGATTTGATCTTGAGAGGTTTACAGATTTAACATTTGATAAGAATAGTGCTTGAAAAATGAGTGCATCAGAGCTGATCCTTATCTAACCTGAGTTTTTGACCCAGGCCTTGAAGAGAAATAGCCACTCCAATAGTCCTCAGGGATATCTGCGTAAGGGAAGATATCATCGTATCTTACTGACCAACTCAAATCCAATGAAATCAGAGTGTCTAAGTAGTTTCCAGGAGTGGTATACATCAAAGTTACATTATCGTACTTGTTGTTGATATAATTCATTAGCTTATCGATGTTGTAAAAGTTTCTATGAGCATTTGAGAACTGGAAATCACAACCCATCGGAATAAGTAGATGATTGGTTCTATACTAAGTGCTTATATTTACAACATAGTCCAAGAACTTCTAAGCTAAGAAATCTGCATTATAAGTTTCAAGATCTACATCATCAACAAAAGCATCATTGTCTCCAGGTTGATTGCCAAAATCTAGGTTGTCAAATGACGCATAAGGAGGAGCGCAATAACTGTCAAACATAGTATGCATGAATATCTGACTAGACTTGCCTAAATGCTTAAAGCTAGGTCGCCATAGGTATTCCATTGTCTTCTCCTTAAGTCTCTTCTGCTTATCTTAATAATCAGCTCTAGCAACAAACACGGCATCAAATCCCATTTCAGCGAAGAGTCTGCCATTTGTGTTTGAATGCCCAAATGGATCAATTTACCATCCAATTCTTGGCTTGTACTAGAATTAATCCCAAAGGAATTTCTGGCCTTTCATCATATTATCCAACATGTCCTCGTAATGAGTGCAAGCTTCATCATGCATTGACCAACCTGCATTTACAAATTCTAATCTACCCTCTTTTACTAGCTATCTAACTTGATCTTGTAGGTCTTTAGTTTGATCGTTCCACCACATTGAAAAGAATTTCATCTCTACATATGTGAATTTCTTTGTAGGATCATTGATTAATTCCTCAATAGTAGTATCCAATATCATCTCAACAAAAGCCATTTACTAGGAAGTGTTTGTTCCTGTATAGTATTGATCGACAGTTTTAAGCCAGCCAACATCATCATGAGTATGAGCTAATAGATGTAGATATAAATGATTGTCCTTGTATTTCTCTTTAGTGTCCTTTGCGATAATAAATGCACACAATAACGAAATAAATGTAATCAGCTTCATCGTTTATTATAAATTATTTATATTTTTATTGAATTATACCTACTTTGGATATTTCAATATTTATCTTATAATAAATTCCATGGGGTTTTGGGGTTTTGGGG